GAAGTCCTTTCTTTAATTTTATCTAGAGTTGTCTCTCTTTGCTTGTTGATATTTTAATTCACAGATACCAATATTAAAATACTACAGACTTTCTGTATACTATACTCAGTTGGGTAGACGTTCCATCCTCTGTTATTCTTCGATAACCTTTACCACTTATACAAATAACAATTATTCAAATTTAACATACATTTTATTACACCAACTTGTATTTACATTTTTATGACTAGAATATACACTTTTATTTTGTGGCATTACTTTGGCTACAGAGTATTCTATAAAATTTTGTTGAGGCGCAAAAGTGACTACCGATTACCTATACACAATAGCTATCAGCTGACCTATGTTGACATAGTGTCATAAAACCCCTGGTATGGTAGTTAAACACTGTTTCACCACCACCTACCATGGAGAGTGACCGGGGAAAATACTTGTATTACCAATGCTCCAGTTATTAGTGCCGCACCTGTTGGCAGGTGTAGGCCTCCACTCTAAAAGATGAGGTGGAGGAGGTCCCAGAGTTACCCATCTGTAGACCCTACCGTTACCCCTTACCACATTTTCAAAACCTGCAAATTGTAGAACTTGTCAGGCCCAGAGCAAGGACAGAGCGAAATAATCCCCCAATCACTACAACTACAAGTCTCCTGGCCTGGACCGCCACATGAGAGTCCAAGTCAGCTACCAAATCTGACTTTGGTTCTCACCTCCACACAATTTTAAATATTGAAGCAATGCGGAAAATATGATTGTTTTGTACGTACAAAAGACTCAACCCCCCTCTTTTGTATATTATTTAAGAAAATCTGATTTCCAGTTTGTGATCAATGAGTTTCAACTGTTCTGTATGAAGACACTTCACTTGTCCTAATACTTTTGTGTAATATAGCTTTCTCCCCCATTTTCTATTTAAAAGTTTTTGACCACTGAATTAACTCCTTTCCTCTTCTGTTCGATTATTGGACCCGCATTATGAACACTTTTACCATCCATGTAATAAATAATGTAGAAAACACAAAGATTTCATCCTTTGGCAGGCAATCCCTCTATTGATATCGATTTCATCGTTTGTCAGACAACCCCTCTATTGATAGTCATGAGGAAAAAGAAACAAGAAAATTCCAAATTGTGTGTGGATATCTTTTAACTTGAAGTCTATCGTTTTTGGACACATCTAGTCATTTATGACATGTATGAGATGAAAAAATATGGAATTATGAAAAAAAGGATAAGTAATTGATGGTAATAGCGGTAGGCTTTTGTAATAGGTTTACCTTGTTTTGCAAATTTTTTTGCAAACAACATTTCAAGTACCAATAATTAAATTGATTGTCTATTTTAAGTAACATTAAAACACGACTGATTATTTTCAGAATATTATTCTTTTTTAGAATAATTTTTGTGAATGATTTAACATGGTAAAATAATGCATTTAATTCCAGGTAAATATCCTATGCGGATGTTTTTTTTTTGTATTTCTGACAGGGATAATGAATTTATAAGAATTGACAGGAATATAAAAGCATGAAAATGTTAATATTTTAACGCCCCACCTAGCTAGGGACATTATGTTTTTCGGTCTGTGCGTCCGTTTGTCCGTCCGTCCGTCCGTCTGTCCCGCTTCCTGTTAAAACGTAAGGTCAAGGTTTAAGGTAAAGGCTTTTGGTCAAGGTAGTTTTTGACGAAGTGGAAGTCTAAATCAACTTGAAACGTAGTGTTCACTATGATATGATCTTTCGAATTTAAATGCCAAATTAGAGTTTTGACGCCAATTTCACGGTCCACTGAACATAGAAAATGATAGTGCGAATGGGGCATTCATGTACTATGGAACAATTATTGTTTTCTTTCCAAAAACAGAAAAAAAAGGGTAGGCAGATCAGTAAACCAACAAATTTAAAAAAACATTGGCCATGCATGGATTGACCGTCACTCAGCCTGTCCAATTGACCTTGGGGCGGAGAGTTTCATCACTTCTCTTTAAGGGAATATTTTGATATATAGTTTGCAGCTTGATAATGTTGAGTAATGTAAGGTATTTCACGTCCACAATGTAGCCAATTCTTGGTTGTTTGAAATTTTAAAACACTCGTTGAACAAGTAAAATTTTCTGGGTCACCACAGGGTAAAGGCATGTCTATTAACTTCTTGATACTGTGTGTCTGTTCTTCCAGAATACCTTGGATAGAAAACACTTTCGTCAAATGTTTGAGAACATTTGAAATTAAACAACTCATTTTACAAGCTTGCAGATATAGTTTGAGATTTGTAACATTCTGAGGATTCATTGTTCATGTACTAGGATATTTTCTTCCAAATGTTCATGGCTCCTATTAAAAGTAATGAATTAATATTTGTTCGGCATTTTCATAATGTTGAGTTGAAGAGTCACAGAGTAAGCAATTTTTACATCCACCATTCTGTTTTGATCAAATCCAATCAAGTTTATTGTACAAAAAAGTCCTCCAGCGCACGGTACATTTACAAATTCACAATTTATAATGTCAACTACAGTTTAATAATAACATATATTGAATAATATTTGTCTGTTTTGCATAGATGTGCAGACAGTATTAAAAATCAAAATTGCTGCTGTTGTCAATGAAACAGGAGTAAAGTTTACTATTAAGTCCTATGTGAATACCATTAAAGTAACATACTCAGAAAACATGGTAGGTCAAACTAAGTGAAGTGTTTATGATATGTTACTAGTATCTATTATGTGTCAATGTGGGATCTGACTTTGGAATTTTTGAAATGTCTATACTGTTACAAATGGAATTAGCAAAAATGCTAAATATTCCAAATGCTCTTTACTTAATGAAACTTTCAATAGAACTGTTGACATGCAAATCTGCGTTCTCCCAAAAATTTTCAAATAGCACCATCGTAATTAACTCGGGACTGGTTTTCCCTCCAAAATATAGAACCATGACCTCTATATTACATTTCATTATAAAATCATATAAGATAGCACCATGGTAGAAAATATAGCACCAAGACACCATGGTGCTTTAATGCCCATGGGAGAGCACTGTGCCCGCATGTTTTGACGCAACCACTACAATTTTAAAATGGACTGTAACTAAGAAAATAGCAAAAAATTAAAAAATGAAATATGCTGCAAACTTTCTAAAAATAAGCAGAAATATGTCTTGGCAATCATATCTATTGATTCACTGTATAACACTTTCAAAATGGCTGCAGTTTAGAGGCAGTTAGCAGACGGATGTGATATTCTCTATTGCTTGCAATTGCAATTCTAGTATTTATTTTGTTTTTCTTTGCAATTAACATTTTATAATCTCTGGTTACAGTTTTAGACATTAATATACACATTAAACCTTCATGGATAATGTTTTGAAACTTGAAAATCGGGTTTTTCAAGATTAAAAGTATCTTAAGAAAACATTTTTTTTTTATATTTTGTCACACAAGTAAGAGTTTTAGCGCTATAAAACCAGGTTCAATCCACCATTTTCTACATTTCAAAATGCCTGTACCAAGTCAGGGATATAATGGTTGTTGTCCATTCTTTTGATGTATTTTATCATTTGATTTTGCCATTTTATTAGGGACTTTCCGTTTTGAATTTACCTCGGAGTTCAGTATTTTTGTGATTTTACTTTTTATTACTGATAAATTGACTTGTGTTATTTTTTTAAATGCATACCACTGACAGAAGCCATCACATGTGTGACAAAGGATTCTGCCAAACCCTTTATGAATTTTGTGTGTGTATATAGATATAAATGATGGCTGTAAAATACAAATTACTGGAGCATTTTTCTTTGTCTTGTTGACCATCTTTTCACAACAAGGATGAAGGCAGCATCATGTGTATCATACCAAGTTTCCTGTAGTCATTCTGTAATAAAAGATCTCTTTAAATATCAATAATTTTTTAAATAGTTACCAAAGGTACCAGGCTTATAACTTAATACGCCAGACGGGCGTTTCGTCTACATAGGACTCGTAAATATGATATAATTCTCCCGTGAATTCTCTATCTATAGAATTGCCCGAAAAATGTGTTGCTTGAAAAGATATAATATTGCATGTCTGTTGTCTCATCCATTCTTTTAGTCTAATTCTTTTTTCATATTTTCTCAACCTCTGACACTTGCAAGTGAACACTTCGACCTCATTGAATCTGTATTCATGTGACCTTCAATTTAACCCCTTACATAGAGATGGATTACGCATTAATAATGCGTATTCAGTTATTAAAAGGAAAGGAATGTCAACATTCAAAGTGAAACAAAGGTAAATCATTTGATTGACTAAATCGATCCACCAAAACTCATTCACATACAGGTAAAACGATTATTAACATATATTTATAACCTATAATAGGAAATTAAACAGACCCAGAAAACTCAATTGCACAAGTTCGCTATCTATTTATATTTTTGCTTATATGACCGTCACAGTCTCCAGTGGTCAACTCGATAATTATTAGTTGGCGTCTATTTTAAAATACACAAGAAACGATGATACATATTTTTCGAGACCATCCCTTGTAAATTGTTTATTTTAAAACTTTTTATAATTTGTAAATACGTTTTAGTACATTATAATTCAAATATGGGAAAGTGAGTCAAATTTGTGAACATGAATTTAAGCCAATGCCATCTTGCTTTGTTTAAGTATTTGTTACATATGATAAATGCATTATGTTGTAACTACCGAATATTCTGTGAATACCTCTTTTTTTTATTTTTCTTTCTTTTAAATTTTTTGTTTTATGTATCAAAATGTGTACAAGAGATTATTTACAAACTCACATGAAGCCTCTGACAGACGATGTATTTGCATAAATTTATTGTTATTGACAGGCAATGAAAAAAAAGCCAAAGGAAAATGAACAAAAACAGGTTATGTATCATTATCCACGATTTTTGCCAATAAAACGATTGACAAGGATACATTAAATAGAAGAGTAATTACCTAGAAAATATATATATATACCCCCACTTGAACTTTCAATATAGAGGAAATAATGTACACATAACTCTTAACTTCACTAAAAAGGAAATAATTGTCACGATCACATACACTATAATTCATTACATGCTTAAATAAGTTCCAGCATAGATACGATTAACTAAACAAGTAAGTACATACTATTGATATTTTTAGGCTTTTTCTGTTTTTAGAATTTAAATACCTGAGATAAATAAAACCATACGATTATATATATTTACTTCGAAAAGTCACATAACAGTAAAGAATACACATTTCTAAAAAAAAAATAAGTCCAGTCAAGTAATCCCACCAAAGATGTCATCCAAACTTTTTTTTTTAAAGTAATAGAAATTTTTATAATATGTATCAAAATGTGTATAAGAGATTATTTAAATCCCCGCTGGAAGGAGTAAAAGTATCTCATTGAGAAACTGTATCTCATTGAGAAACTGGGTCCGGGTGGTTTCTAACAGATAAGAATTCGTGTTTTTTAAGTCGAGCGAATTAGATTTATAGACTAGAGTTTCATATTAAAAGTCAAGTGCTGGGGATAAAAAGCCAAGCACTGAAGATGTGTGATCCAGCGCTGTAGATAACCCGAGCTCACAGATATTTCGTAGTGCATTTTTTTTTAGCCAAAAATGCAAATTAAAAAAAATCGCACCTGGTCTATCAAAAAAAGATTTTTTTACAGTGTAGTGAAATACTTTGGGGACAAATTTATCAAAATTAAAGAAAAATGTATCGGCTCTAACTTGAAATATGGTTAATTTTATGTTAAGGGGGTCTGTAAATCAGTTTGACAGCTTCAGAAATACTAACTTTTGAACTTTTCAAACTGGACCAAATCACTACCTTCCCTAGAAATTCCTGTCCTAATTTTGTTTGCACATAATTTTCGTGCTTTGTAATAATATTACCATATATATATATATATACAATATTGGAGTTAAATATAAAAAAGAAGATGTGGTATGATTGCAAATGAGACAACTCTCCACAAGAGACTAAATGACACGGAAATTAACAACTATAGGTCACTGTACGGCCTACAACAAAGAGCAAAGCCCATACCGCGTAGTCAGTTATAAAAGGCCCCGAAATGAAAAATGTAAAACAATTCAAACGAGAAAACTAACGGCCTATTGTATGTAGAAAAAATGAACGAAAAAAAAAAAATATGAAACGCATCAACAAACGACAACCACAATCTCCTGACTTGGGACAGGCACTTACATACAGAACGTGGCGGGGGAAAACAGGTTAGCGGGATCCCAACCCTCCCCTAACGTAGGACAGTGGTGAAACAGTACAACATAAGAACGAACTACAAAAATCAGTTGAAAAAGGCTTACTCATTAAATGGATACAAATAGAAATACATCTAACAAAACCACAGAGTTGACGTTGCCTATAGTTGTTAATTTCTGTGTCATTTTGATCTCTTGTGGAGAATTTGGATTAAGACGTACATACATATAGTGTGTTAAGCTGATGAACGATACTTTTCATTGTAAGTTGTATATGAAATTTAATACAAATTTTATTGTCAATGGTTATTAAATGGGGCGGATATGTGTCTTCTTTAATTGATGAATTTGTTTTTGAGGGGCGGGGCCAGGTCTTATTTCATAGAATATTGTTTATTACATTTTTGTGATTCTTAACTGCTGAATTTGTTTTTGAGGGGCGGGGCCAGGTCTTATTTCATAGAATATTGTTTATTACATTTTTGTGATTCTTAACTGCTGTCCAGTAGGTTTTTTATTCCTTTTTTAATATTATTAACTGTTAAAACAAAAGTAGCATGAAATGAAGTTTAAAAGATTAAAAGTCCCCTGCAGAAAATTTGCATTAAAATGTTTTGGTGATTTGTTGGGAATTATAGATTATCCTTGATCATCTCAACGAGATTGATTTTCTCGCTTGAGATGACCAATGATAATCAGTTTATCGCTATTTTACCTATGACGACGTTGTCAATTTCATGTCAATTTCATTTGCAACGCCAATTGCCCCCTTAGTTTCTAGCGATAATTCTTCATATCACTCGACTCCGCTGAGAAAGGAATTTATCAGTCAGCAAGATCAAAGGAAAAGTTCGTAAAAAAGCGATAATACATGATATTGTCCTTCACTTAAGGTGGACCATAACACTACAGGTAGATAATTCTGTACACATCGGCTGAACCTTTTAATGACGTTCTATTATTGAAAAAGCCCGAACAATAACTAACACTGAATTGTTTGGTTTAATACAAGGAAATTGTGCTCCTTTGTTTCTCAAAACATTTATAGTGTTCAAGACAAGATGTATAGTCATATAAAAAGCTATTATAATTACGAAATAGCAGTTAATTGATCTTATCGCATGTTTTATCACTCGTAAAAAAACGATCTACACTCGAAAAAATGGACCGATTCATTCGAAAAAACACGATCCTAGCCGGACACTATACCTATCGTGATACTAGTCAACAAAAGAAACGATATAAGGCAATGTATTTTCTATATATAATGAAATTGCATACAGTCTACCAAGATAAAAAATTGTCAATAAGTCTCATATTTACAGTATTATTTTCTGAACAAAAACCAATGATTTAACAAAAATACTCGGATTTTTGTTTTTTTGTTATTTCAAAAATCGTATTTTCATCCAAAAATTCTATAATTTATATAAGAACTACAAATTTTAAATTTAAACTTGGTCTGCTTAAAATTATGAATACCTGTGTAGATATTTGAAAGTTAATTCTTTGAACTCTTTTTTTTTTAACTTTCCAATTTGATCAAATTCTTTTAATCATATGCATTTGCTTTGTAAATGAAAGTTTTTCATTAGCTAATTTAACCGTTTTTCCTACTAGTTAGGTACATTTTTATGATAAATAGGAGTTGTGTATCGTTTCTTTTGTTGACTAGTATATGCAAATTTAAATAGTTTAACTACAAGTAGTCTCGGACTACATGTACAAAAATGGAGCTGTTTATTCATTAAAAGATACATGATATAATTGCAAACCCTCGACAGAGTCAGGGTTATATAGGAATATTCATGACCGTTTAATACTTTTTTTCATCTATCTGTGCGTCTGTCCGGCCGTCTGTCCTTATCTCTTTTGCTTTTCCAAATGATAGATAAAGATCCGCCCTTTTCTTACTTAATTCGAAATAAATGCGTTTTTTTTTTTATTACTGAAAACATATTTAGTCCGACTTTTCGTTATTTTTTTTTTATCTCATCGTTCCAGAGTTATGGTACATGTACTTGGTTGTTGTAAAAAATTTTAAATTTTGATGCTTCTGAATATTAAATATGAATCCTTTATTTTTCTTTTTAAATTAATCAAAATTTATTAGAATATGTGAAACCACTAAACATTGGTTTTGTTCGATTATCGTTTATCATTCAATTTTATCATACCAGAGTTATAGTACTATGTTATTTGAAAAAAATCCGGATAACGAATAAAGAATCTCTTTTTTAAATTAATTCATTTTTTGATGGAAAAATTCAAAAGTTTGTTGTATCTTGATTTTATATGACGAATGATGACACAATGAAATGAATTCAATTTTTCCGAACCACTAAACAAAATCATGATATCTAAGTTAATGATGGAGGGTTCTATAGATCACTTCTACATTTAAAAATGATGTCCCTGTAAAATATTGAAGAATAATAGGTCCTGTTTATGCCAATGAAGTATAGACGGTCGTTATGCCATAAAACACTACACAAAAAACAAAATAATTCAGGAACACAAATCCTGCTAAAATCGGGAGGTAATTTAAGTGCTTCAAAAGAGTCGGCAGAATCTGCTTCACCAGTAACATTCTACGTAGAATTATTTTTGACATGATTTTGGTGGTATCCGCATTTGAAAATGCCATAATCATGGAAAAGTAGATGGAATACCCATTTCATGACGGTAACCGTATATCTTTCGAACTGATGACTTAATTTTTGAAATCCTTGAATACAGTTTTAACTTGTAAATATATACGTCTACGTCATTTGGTCTCTGTGGACAGCTGCAGTTGTCGAATTTGCAATCACATCTTTTTATTTTTATATTGATTTGCACATCTTACTCGATTAAATTCATATTTGTTAATACAAATCATATTTATTATGAGTTAACAATGATTTGTGGTTTTGATTTTTTTTTTCTGGAAGTCTATGTGGAATTATGATAAAATTTAGATTTAAATGTAATACTGAATTTTGTGTATGATCAAAAGAAGAATTCGTGGACATGTTAATATGTAACTAATCTTACCACATGGCGAAAAAAATACACATTCTTTTTTCAATGTAGTAAAAGATAAAGCATTGTCCACTGATGCTCTTTCATCAATACCAAATTCCCCCTAAAAATAAACCAATGTTAAGATAATACACACGATAATCATTTAAATTATTTCCTAGGCAATACCAATAAATGCTCACAGTAACAAAGAATCTGTCATCCTTAATAAAATCTCAAATTAATTTCAAAATAAGATAATATAATACAAAAAAGGTAAATAGTGACTTCAAAACATAGAAACATGTTGTACCAGAGAGTTATTATTTGTTGTTAGAAGCTGTATATTCCATTTATTATTTTGAGGAAGTGAGTTCTTATACTTCCATTCAATTGACAGAACCACGATAATAAAAAGAGTGTCTATTCTACAGTGAAGTTATTTTTTTCAGAAACACAGTAGTGACGAATATACAGTATGTACCAAGTGTACTTTTTCGTTTATCTTTTCATGTCAATCGTATCAACGGCGCCCGTGCCACTTCATACTTCTGTAAGTAATATTCGACATGCTTCCTCCGATAATTTGACAGATGATAGGAATGGGTCTTGTGGTTTTAACTTTCCCTCATCTGATACTGACAAAGCTCGAAGTAAATTTAAAGATTACAGATCTGATAATACGGTTTCAGTCATTTATCTCTATCTAAAAGGGAACAGTTCTGATGAAATAAAGCTGAAAGAAAATCTGCCGGAAGGGACATATCGAAATGGTCTACAAGAATGGATTTGGTTAAAAAAGGAAATGATGTATGGGCAATTGTCCCGACCGATAGATTCCGATTCTCTTACTTTTACGATAACTAAAGACGGAACAAAAATAATGGACATTCCTTGGTCGTTATCAGCAAGCTGTTATTTAAACTACGAAATTGAATATGAGAATGAAACAGAGTATATTGTGAACTATTTATGGTCCAGTATTACAAAAAATGAGACTGGTTCTTTGCTGTGTCATCGTTCGTTTCATGATAAAACCTTAATAGGAACTACAGCTATTTGGATTGTTTTTACTGTATGGATTGGATATGATTACGATTGTTTTTCCATCGATTCGTTAATGAATGGAGATTTTGAAGTAACAGAACAAAGCAAATATGACATAACCAAAATGCTGACTGTCGTCCTTGGATTACTTGCTTACATGCATCCTTTTATCATTCATCTGTTAGAAATTGTTCAGCCAAATAAAACTACTGACCTGCATAAATACTACAAAAATAAGGAACAATATCAGAAACCGTATGGCTTAACTCGAATCATGCGAAAGATATTTTACTCACCGTGGCATGACATAGAATCACGAACAGATAAAGCAGTAAAGTATGCACCTATTGTTCGGTTTTATTTTTTTTGCACTTTAATTGTATTAGGACTCAACTTATATAAACTACTTAATATTAAGAACGAATTATTTGAAAAGAACGAGTACGTAAACTTCCCAAAAATTTATAGATATGGAATTCCAGAATATCAATATTTTAAATATATCCCATGGTTGCCTGTTACAATATCGATTATATCATATTTTGTATGCAATGTATGGATATATATTCTTTATAATGAAAATGATGATTTTATCATTTGCTTAGGTAAAGATACTGGTTGCCGAAAGTGTTCGTACTCTTCATTCTGTGTCCGCAGCAAATATATATTCTTTATTCCTGTGAAGGACATAATGGAGACTGAGGGTAATTTAGCCCAAAACCAATGGATGTTGAATGCATGTAAAAAGTTGATTTTTCGTTTCACAATGCTTTTTTCTCTTCAGTTTTGGCGTTTTATTTTCACATACTCATTTTGTTCGGTGGACACAAGGGGAGAGGTTTCGCTGGATAAATGCCGTAAAATCCTTTTGTTTCTGTCTTATAATGTACTTATTGGTACCTTGTTATTCGTTTTGAACGCTTTTATAAACATTTTGTTTTGTTCAATGCCTGCAATATGGTTTATATTTTTTCCATTATTTTTGAAATGTCGAAATTCTTGTTGCCAAAAAAAACATGAAAAGACCATGCAAACTGAAAATAGAGGTTATGGCAGTGCGACAATTACAGAAAGTATAATCTCTAAAATGAATTATACTGAAATGTATGTAGCTGATGAAATTACACGCTCTCATTCAGAAAATGTAGATATTGAACAGTACCAAGCCGACAGTAGTAAAAGGCCACATGCTGAATATAGGGAAAATGACCACAAACAAGCCAGTAGCAAAATAAATTCATCGAATGAAAATATAGATTCTGAGAAAGTTCGAGCCACAGAGATACAAACCTCACAACCCAAAAGTGGCAACAAATCGAAAGACAGTTGTTCTTCATGCGAATGGTTCTTTATGACCTTTTTGTGGGTAATCTATGCGTTAACTGTAAGAGAACATGCTTATTTTTTTGTTTACATAGAACGATCTTTTGCCTATACAGTCATTGCTGGCTTTACAGGACCAGAGCATGTTTGGGGATGGTATTTAGTTGTTATATTTTCATTCGGGTATATTGCCACATATATCTTAGAGTTTCTTGAATCTTATACAGTTCTTTTGAATACCATATTTGATATTCGAGAGAAAAACATTATTATTCTTCATCCATGGTTTGAAGAACAGGCAGATGAATCTTACGAATTCAAAAGCAACAATCAAGACAGTATTGATGAAAATCTGTTTGATTATATAGTAGACAATTGTTATCCTGCTCGCAAAAGGTTCTTTCTGTTATTCATTAAAACTATCCTCACTACAATATTCATGGTAGTCTCTTTCCAAATCTTACAAAAAACAGGAAAATTTGTCAAAATGAAGTTATTGCATGACACACTTTCTATGATATTAATTTTGATATCTCCTAAGTTATTTTTGTTTTTCTCACAAAAGAAACCAGCGGAGGAAATTGAGAAACATGTTTCAGAAATTGAATCATTATATAATAAATTTCTAAAAAGGGAAAAAAAAAGATATGATAGAGATTGTTTATTCCTTTGTTATAAAGAAAATATAACTGATGGTAGTCGTCGTTTTATTTGTCAGCTGTTGCGAAAAAGTTTTTGTGATTTCAGTTGTACATGTTGTAATTCGTCAGGTTCCGATGAGTTATCTTCGTTGACTGACTTGAGGAATCTTAAACAAGATAACTCTGATGCAGAAGATATTTTCGAGCTTACAGAGCAAAAAGAAATTTTCGAACCAGACGAGACTATATCAGAGATTCGCCAAACAGAAAAAGAGCCACTTCTAAAAAAGAAGTGAACTATACCCTATCTTATACAGTAACATGAATACATTTAAATTGAAGTTTTATAAAGACTAAGCAACACAAATGTATGTAACGATAAATTAAATATGGTTTTCAAATAATGTCGGAATGTATAAAAAAGATAAAATAAATATTGTTTTCCCTCGTATCACTCATCAAAGATATAAGGCTTGTAATTATTTAAGAAATAATTCATGTGGGCTTGAATATATCGTGATTTTACCCCGGGTTGGCCCTTTATGACAAATATTTTACTCTGAGCGATAGCGAGGGGTAAAATATCGGCATAAAGGGACAACCCGTGGTAAAATCATGATATATTCAAGCCCCCATGAATTATTTCGATTCTAATAGGACAAATACGGCAATTGTTTTGGATCGAAGCGCTCTAGATGAAGGCTTTATTTGCCGTTCCCATAAATAAACGCACTATTAAATTGACGTAAAAGACCGGAGCAAACTGAATAAATGACATGCTTAAACTATTTACAATAACATATTTAGATAGGTTTGGATGAATCTAAATGATAATTGTACTTATATGTCTTATATGTATACAAAAAAAGGCTTAAATAACACATTTTAGCATCGTTTGTTTATGTTTCCTAGTTGTGATGATTTTCGGTTTCACAAGCGTGTATTTTCCCGTAAAATGCTTATATTCTTACGTCATCGTTCTATGACGTCGGGTAGCTCATTCATAAAAAAGCATATGACGCGGGAGTACGATTGGAACAGCCCAAACAATATATTCATATTTTACCACGGGTGTGTACTCAAAGCGTTTGAAGAACGTCATGTTAGAATTAGTATTAATTTATAGATTGTTGATATGAAGTCACTTTAAATCTAAAATATCAGTTCCTCAAATACAGTTATGAAGAAAACATATGATCGAAATTTAGAAACGATCCTGGTAAACTTGAGTATTGTTTGTTTTGGTAATAATATTAATTTTGTAATTCAGTTATTGTTGTTTGTTGCAGTGGTGCATATTTGTTTTTGGTTAATTTTTTGGTACATTAATTAGGCTTTCAGCTTTCTTTTTTTTCTCCTTTCAATTGTTGAACATTTGTCATTTCGGGTCCTTTTATAACTGACTATGCGGTGTGTGATTTGCTCATTGTTGAAGGCGGTACGGTGAATAATAGTTGTTAATTTCTGTGCCATTTGGTTTTTTGTGAAGAGTTGTCTCATCGACAATCGCACTCAATCTTCTTTTTAAAATTATGAAGACGAACATCTGAATCGACACTACATGGGTTATACAGTCACCATAATCAATTGGTTGACTCATACGAGGTGTCAATACCACAACAAACTAGCAAAATGTGTTCATGGTATATTTGATCTTTAAATTCCATAAAAGTCTTCATGTCAGTTAACTTACTAACTTTGTCTTATTTCGACAATATGACTAACTGTTTTGAATCGCATGAAAGATGCAAAGGAAGTTACTTAGTAGATTCACCCGGTCTGGCTCCTTTTGGATTTTTTTTTTATTAATCATAATTTTGTCATCAAATGGATTTGTGAGATTTGAGCATATATAAAACAACAGTTGCCTCTAATTTATTTTTTTGATAGAATACAAAAATACAATTAAATTGATTTTTATTTGTTATTGATAAACAGTTGAATGATTGTGCGATAATTCTATGTCGGTTCTTTTCCCAAAACATGTGTTTTTTCTACAGGAAATAGGGGTTATTAATTATTTCCTTTATCTTTACCTGAAATTATTTGCTGCTTTTGACAACAAACTTCTTTTTTTTAACTTTCCTATGGCAATTTGACAAAAAATGATTTGATGATTATTTTCTTTGTTTTGTTTTATATTTATATAATATTTACTGTTGATGTTAACAAAGACTTGATTGTTATTTTCAAATGATTTAGTATATGTTGAATTGAAACTGTAACGTTTGGTTTTAGATATGTCCGTGTAAATATTAAAATGATATAACAAAACATAAGCATATCCATATATTTGAAATATCTCATGTCATTAATTTAAAATGTATTTATGCATCTTTGATGTTATTTTCATTCAACATCTGATTTGAGCTTTTTGTCAATAACTATTTAGTATTTGATTGTTGCTGTTTTCAAATTATAATTTCTTTCGTGATTTGATTGTTGTCGTTTTGTATTTATCATGTGTTATGTGTTTTGATTGTAGCCTTTTATAAATGTAGCTAGTTACCAATTATCATTTAATGCCCGATTGAATTGAAATTGTTTACCAATTATAATTCAGTTTGTATTTTATTTATAGACGTTTATCAATTATCATTAAAAGAGATGCGGGAGATACCAAAGGGATATTTAACTAATAGTTTTGTTGTAGGGTAGGGTCCCATGAAATAATTATCCAAATCTTATTTATTCGTATAATGAAGAAGAAAGACTGATCAACATTTTACATAGTAGTCACTGACATAATTGATTGATCAATTGTCTATCATAGACACCTAGTTATTGAAGCTGATAATAATAATCAAGATCGTTAAGTTTTAGACATGAATATCTTTTTCTTTTTACAATATCTATATAATACCCTTTGTTGACTAATGTTGTACAGTATAGACCTTACCACATACAACTGTAATCTTGAAATGCTTCATAATCTCCAAAAACTTGCTGCAAGATTAATTAAAATGTTTCGTTTTATATCCCATCATTTTTTGTGTTTCTTGAATGGATGACTATATTTACGAGGATACTATATAATCAAGCTGCAATAATGTTTATAGTTATCAAAGGTACCAGGATTATAATTCAATACGCCAGACGCGCGTTTTGTCTACATAAGACTTATCAGTGACGCTCAGATCAAAATAGTTATAAAGCCAAACAAGTACAAAGTTGAAGAGCATTGAGGACCCGATGTTTCAAAAAAGTTAAATATATGAAAGATCTAACACTTGATTATCTATCTACTTAATTGACTGTATCTACATTACATGTATTATTCGCTCAGGTCGACAAGATTGGATCTTCTTCATATATCAGTCTGATTTATTTTTTTAACCTTTAAATCATCTGGTTTTGTTACTTGGATTAATTCACAAAAAACGATACTAAGGTACTTAATGATTTTAGATAAATTCAATTGAATTATCAAAATTTTTAAACAAAAAATCTACAGTTGGTAACAACGATATGCTTGAAAAAAATTCATCTGAAATTTTGTATACTTATACTCCACGTTAAGTCTTCAACACCTAACTCTATGATTTATGGCGAGTTAGGCAGATATCCATTATTAATTGATATTAAGAAAAGAATGATTTTATATTGGACAAAATTGTTCAACGGGAAAGAAACAAAATTGTGCTCAATTTTTAATAAATTAATGACTCAAATGGCACATGAAACAAATTTCCGATCAACTTGGCTACAAAGCATAGAAAACACCCTAAACGAATATGGATTTTCAAGTATATGGACATATCAAATCTTTTATTATGCAAATTGGCTTAAGCGAATTGTTAAATTACAAGTACTTCAGGAGACCAGTTTACCCAAACCTGGTTCGCTAGTGTAGAAACCTCTGCAAAAACTCTGAACTACATTCTGTTTAAAGAATCGTTAAGAATCCCTCCACTGTCATATTTTAAGGTCTTCCATTATATATACACTACACATTTTTAACATGCAAACATACATATGTATTTCCATTGTATTGTTTATTCTTTCATCATATGTACCTTTGTAATATTGAATAATGTGTATGTTCTTCTGTTTACCTTTGTATTTACAGCGATTTATCAGATTAATATAGATTCTACCACTGAATCGAGTGTGATACGATATTTGTCCACTCGAGACAGTTAAATTTTCAAATTTAAAACGCGAGGCTCGCCGAGCGTTTTAAATATTTAAAATTTAACTGTCGAGAGTGGATAAATATCGTATTACACGAGATTTGGTGGTGGAATCTGTTTCTCTAATGATTTTCAAACAATATGCAGGCAAACTTATTCTTTCTTTTCGAATGAATTGCAAAAAGGTGTGTTTTTTCTTTATGACGTCATCAGGCATGGTCGCATTTTTTCATGCCGTCACAATAGGAAATTCAGAGGAAAGCAAGAAAATTATCATTTGTCATAATCGGATTTTAACCAATGAATAACCGAGATCAAACGAACGACACGTTCTGGGTGCAGAAAGGGACAAATTAACGAAGAATTAGAGAAAAGTTTATATATAACTTGAAAAAAAAAAAAAGAATGAAATACCGGAATCAAATATATTTATTTTTCTATTGAATCCATATGTGCTTTTTCTCTCAATATGTATGCTGCTTTATATAGTTAACTGTTTCATGTACTTTGCTTGTATGTATTTTTTCTTTTGTTTAATTTTATAAAGGCCTTTCCGATTTAAATTTTCTTTGGAGTTAGATATTTTTGTTATTTTCGTTTTTTCAATTGTTTTGGAGGCCTCCGGGAATATTAACATAATATTGTGCTTTTGTTTGTTAAAAATACATTTTATTTATATAGTTAATGTATCTGTTTCCTTAAAAATATCATAAAAATGCTTTTTTTTTGTGGAGAAAAACAAATTTCTGTTCTTTAAATTAAATTTTGAAACATTGTAGTGTATTGTTTGTCTAGACTGTCTTACGTATTCGTCAAATTCAGATTTAAAGATAATGAATACATTAGTAGATTTAATGCTGTTCGGATTTCTTCTTTCGATATTAGGAAAAGAGTTGTATCGTCAGCAACTTGCGTGATTTTCAAGCTTTGTGTTTAGCTATCAACTTTTACTTCTAAAACATGTTATTGTTAAGAGAATCATCTTTGTTGAAAACAAAATTTCATTATTTATCCTTATTTATATGAAGGTAACAAACAGTCTTACGGAAGACAAATTACCCGTACCAACAATTTAATTCAGACTCAGGACCGACCAGTCTATTTTCTAACTTATATGAGTAAATGAGTTTTCTCAACGGAGAAGCAGCAAAGACCAATTTTCAAGTCTATTTTTCTATGACAGGAGACCAGTCCAATACATCACATATTGGAAGTTCGTCGAACACCTCATCATCCAATTAGGATATCCTTGTGACAATAATGAAAGCACATACAAAAGAAACAACTTAAAAATATTTTGATATCATTTCATTCAAAAAAAATAATTAAAAGCATTGACAACATGTCAATAAGTGTTTAACTACGTATTGTCTAAAATGTTCAATTGACTAAACATATTTTCTTTGAATCAAAATATAGTTTATTTAATGAAAGAAAGCAACTAACCGTTGCATTCACCTATTTCATACCATCACATTTAACAGCAATTAAATACCTTTACCATATAATCAAACACTACGCACACATCATTTACCTTTTTGGGCATTGACCCTACTTCAAATTCCCCCTCCACATTGAAACCTACAGTTTTTTTAATTAGAAGGAAGAATTTTCCAACACATTGTCGGCATGCCCATGGGAATGAACTTCGGCTTCCTTGACAACCTCTTCTTATATTCAAATGAGTCGGAGTTCCTTCAAACAGTTGCCAACAACAAGAAAGGAAGTCAGATCATTTAATTTCACATTCAGATATATTGATAATGTTCTTTTTGTTGATAATAAAAACTTTTCGGATTGGATAATTTTAGTATTCTTGTCTTTAATTTTTGCTTATAAATGTCAATTGGATACTATAACTGCTCTTGAATATTTACTAGATAACATTTTTGTTCGCTATAGAGTTTCCGTATATAGTCAGGTTATCGGAATTCCCATGGGGACTAACTGTGCACCACTTATTGCGGACCTGTTTCTGTATTGGTATGAGTTACATTTTATGACTGAATTACTACACAGACGCCATGATTTTGCTTCATTTTTCTATGGACACTAACAACTGTTCGAATCGGGCGTATAACTTTTTTGCCACCTTTGGTTCCCCTTCTAGTTCGAAAAGAAGGTTTCACGATGTGCGTACTGTATTTATTTGTAATCAACATATTTGCATAGGCTGTAGGTTTAAATAGCATTCTTATATACGGGTTCATGTCTGATTGAACACAATGTAAACAATTGAAATATATACATGTAGGTCTATAAAATATGATGTTTTTCCACAAATTGTGATAACATTTGAGATCACATTGTTTGGAGTGTTTAGTGATCTTCCATAACAAATTATAGAGATCAACATTACAGGAATTTCATATATAAACGAAAAACACCTTCTCTGTTGGAGCTGCATGTCAGCGCTAACCACTTATCACATATATTTTATTTTCTTATTTTTCTAGTATTTGGAAGTTGCATTTATTGGAGCTACAAAGTGTTCACTTATTAACCTGAGTAAGCCCAGGATTATGATATACAATGTTACCTTATCTTAGCATCAATTATGATGTGAAGGATAAAGTGCATTGTATGAAGAAGCCTAAGGGCTTCGAGGTTTACTATGTACCCTGTACTAGAAATTAATATTGATAGTTCTGCTTCTTGTGGGCGCTGTGATTAGCAATAAAATATTTGTTTGTTTGTTTGTTTGTTTATGCATCTAGGATGTACTTACAAGAATTATTTTCCACATAAATTTTGTCTTTACAAATATTAGAAAAAAACAAAACATGTATCTGCACAATGTCCTAAGAAATAGTCAAGTATGCAATCTGCTGAATAACAAAGTCTAATAACATATAGGTATCAAAGGTATCAAGCTAATAATGCAATACGACAGACGCGCATTTCGTCTACATAGGACTCAACAGTGACGCTCAGATCAAAATAGTTAGAAAGCGTAACAAGTACACAGTTGAAGAGCATTGATGACCCAAAATTCCAAAAAGTTGTGCTAAATACGGCTAAGGTTAATTATGCCTTGGATAAGAAAATCCTTAGTATTTCGAATAATTCATACTTTTCTAAACAGCAACTTTATATTAAGTGTATCCTAGTCACTAACAGCCTCCTTGAAAGCAAAATTATATTTGACAGTGCATCTGCTAGTTGAATCCATGAGAAATATGTTGAAAATTTTTCCCAGTCGTCTGCATTTGTTCTTTATTGGAAATAAATATTAACTAAAATCTGCTTTATCAATATTGAGTAATGCTTTGACGCCATGGGTCTTGGATCGCGCAAGTTTTCTATTGTCAAGTTTACAACTTCACTGTTTCTGACTTAATCCTCTTAAGGCATGGCTGTCCCAATCTGCAGTTTACTGTCCAATAAAACTACGAGCTCTTTTTTTTCGGCTAACTGATCTATCAGAAATTCCCAATACAATTCCTCATTACCGTTTGATTTCCATGGTTTAGGTTCATCGAACAGTGGCCTTGGTGTCCAGGACAATTCGCCTTGTCTCCAGTGGACCTTAGATAGCTGGAAGCTTTACATAACATAATGGCAACACGTAAAGCAATGATATATGCGTTACACTTCCACAAATATTAGTTGTTGATTATGTCCCAGGTTAAAATGGAGTCCTTGATTTTGGTCAAAACAACGAATTGTTGTATTTTGTGTCAACTCCGCGGGTTTCTGTCTGTCGGTAAGGAACCCGGAGCGTTCCAGTGCTTTTGAACATTTTGTCGACGCTGTTTTTTTTATCTTCTCTGTTCATATTGATCTTCATTTCACCGCATTCATTGGACTGACTCTGCATGTCAGTCCTCAATTGAGCTGGGTGGCTTACGGTCCGCATTATTTTGCACAATGCAGTACTTGAAAGTAGATATAAGAAGATGTGGTATGAATGCTAATGAGACAACTCTCCATCGAAGTCGTAATTTGTAAAATTAAACCAGTATAGGTCATAGTACCGTCTTCAACACGGAACATTGGCTCACACCGAACAGCAAGCTATAAAGCAAAAAAATGACATGTGTAAAACCATTCAAACGGGAAAATCAACGGTCTAATCTATATAAAAAACGAGAAACGAGAAACACTTATAAACCACATCAACAAACGACAACTGCTGAACATCAGATTCCTTTAGATAACTTTGCAGCCTCATGTTGGTGGCATCTGCTTTCCAGATCATTTTTATTCCTCCTCTATCTCCTGTTATAAGGACACATAGTAACACATAGTAAAACTCCATTTTTCTCTCCAACACATGGTTCTCTGCTCCTCGGCATCGTAGTCAAATTCAAAATTTCCTTTGTAGCCTAGCTGATGACCACTCGAAGTGGTCATAAAAGGCTCTGGTGACTAGTATACAGATATTACCTGCATGTAAAAGTCTTGTTTTTGTCTCCTCGAATTAGGTTGTCTGTGCATCTTTCAAATACGCTTGATCCCATAGGATTTGGTCTCATTGTAGATATAACTTGGCTACATTTTCCTTCAATATTATTTAGGCTCATTCTAACTTTCTTCTTTGGTCTTAGCAGCATCAGGGTCTAAAATATTTCTTCCTTATTTTAGCCATTTCATCTCACTCAACAATATAAACATAATCATCATCTCCCTTCTTATACTGAACAATGGACTAACTTGTATAAGACAATTTGAAACTCTGATGCTTATTTTAAATTACTTCTAAATTTATACTTTTCCAAAATCATCAATTAACATTCTCAAGAGCCAAAACTCCCAAAATATGCAACTAACGGCATTCAAATGTCAAACTACATGACTGTAGAGACAAAATTCAATGTGTGAAGAACCATAAAACATCAAGAAGTCAAAAGCTATATACACATTCTGCTACACAGTAGCACCGATTTATCAAGAATCTAAACAAACACTAATAAATCAATATCACTCTTATCTGAAATATATTTTACAATACAGTAATTAAAATAACATAAACCTTGTATCATATTTAAGTATACAGTTTTTCTATTTTAATTGCAAAATATCAATGTAGTATGAACAAGAATATTACACATTAAGCAAACAATTAAAAAAATTACAAGGTACACATTTTTAAAGCAAAATTAAACCAAAATGCACGAGAAATTTGTTTTCTGAAAATCCCCAAAAGGGTACATGTCTAAACACTGTAATTGAAGCTGCAGTAATTTAGTTAGACATAAATAATTTTGCTACAAGTCCGAATATTTTTCGTCTTTCTTAAATAGGCGCTGAATAACTATTATATGGTCATTTTAAAAAATATTCCTGTTACAAAACATTGAATTTTTCGAAAAACTAAGGATTTTCTTATCCCAGGAATAAATTACCTTAGCCGTATTTGGCACAACTTTTTGGAATTTTGGGTCCTCAATGCTCTTCAACTTTGTACTATTTGGCTTTATAACTATTTTAATCTGAGCGTCACTGATGAGTCTTATGTAGACGAAACGCGCTTCTGGCGTACTAAATTATAATCCTGGTACCTTTGATAACTATTTCGTAATTTCTGACAAGTTCTAACATAAGACTATGTACATTTTCAATTTTCATGAATGTCCAGTTCATAGTTTTCGTACGACTGGCTTATGTTCACACTAGAAAAAAGATGTTTTCCCTCCGAATTATAGTTACAATTAGAACGTAAGTCCTGATGATAAAACAGCTGTTGCGACAATCTCGATAATGCACAGTTTAATTTTAATGTAAGTAGTTTTTCAGAAATGGACAGGTACTTCTATAAATATGCTGATCATTACT